TTCAGTATTTTTGTTTCAACCATCTGGCAACCCTAGCCAGGCAGCCAAGTGGAGACTGAGGAAAAGGGCAGGAGGGGAGGTATCAGTGGGAGGTGGGACAGGGTGATGCTGGGAGAGGAGAGGGTAAGGGCATTGGGGGCTAAAGGGGAGAGGTGCTGGAAGAAGACTTGAAAGAAGGGATGGGCATGAAGAAGCCAGGGATGGAGCAAGTCGTGTGAGGGCACAGAGGTATGTGAGGAACGGGGGCAGAGGGTGGTGAGGGGATGGGCATCAGGGAAAAAGAGGGCAAAGGGGGGCACCAGGAGGGTGCGGGGGTAAGGGAAGGTGCAGGTGCCAGAGGATTCTCGGGGTGAAGCAGAAGAGCAGACACCTGCAGGGGAGGGATCAGCATCAGAGGAGAGAGGCAGGGCAGATGTGTAGAGGAAGGTGCTAGGAGAGGGGATGAGGTGGTGTGGCTCACATGATCAGAGTGGGGCTACTGGAGGAGTGGGCACGGGGGGAGAGAAGGGCTGGTGGAGGGGGGCAGGTCTCAGAAGGGATGAGAGCAGTGAGAAGGGCAGGAGTCCAAGTCAGGACAGCAGAGGAGGGTGAGGGGTTGGGAGGCAAAAGGCACAAGGGGAGCTGATGGAGCAAGGTGAGGAGACATGGCAGCAGAGGGAAAGGGTAGAGGTTTATAAAATATTTAATAATACCTTGGGTCCCACAGTGGCACATCCAAACAAGCCACATGAACTCAGTACTGGTGCACAACACAAAATTCATTCTGCTCATGGGAGGAAACTCTTAGAGGGAACACTTCCCCCACCCTCTCCATCCCCTCCGCCCCCGAGTTAATGTCACACACACTGGGTTAATGCAATCGCTTCATTTAAATTTACATGGCTGCTGCTCTGAGCCGATTAGCTGTTTGTCAGCTCAGCGCGGTAGTCTGGACGTTCCGCGATTGACATCAAAGGCATTACCTGTGAGGTCGACAAATGCCTTTGATGTCGACCGAGGAGCGTCCAGACTACCGCGCTGAGCCGACAAACAGCTGATCGGCTCAGCATGGCAGCCATGTAAATTTAAATGAAGTGTGTAGATGCACACTCAAAGACATCTAACTTCTCTAAGTGATTTTTAACTTGTCTTTTTTTATTTTAACTTCTAAACCCATCCCATTCCCACTTGCATTCACTATGTTAGGCATCCCATCACCATCAAACTTCTTGACAAAAACCAAAACACGTAGTCATTAAGCACCTCTGCCATTTCCAAATTTCCTGTTATTGTTTCCCCCTCTTCATTGAACAATGGACCTACCTTGTCCTTGGTCTTCTTCTTGCTTCTAATATGTATAGAATGTCTTCTTGTCACTATGTCTCTGTGAAGTGGGGGAGTTTTGGGTGTTGAAAGGTAGGGAGATTGCATGCAGGAGGGCACTCAGTGTCCCTGGGTGTTACTAGTTTAATGTGGTAAGGGGAAAGGGAGAAGTTGTTGCAGGGAACAGCACACACCTGGAGCTCCAGAGACTGATGACTGGGAGACCCTTGCTCGGATGACACAGCTGGTTCTGGCCAGAGGGAGAACAATGGGCTGCAGATAGGAGATCTTGGTGATATGCCCCGCTGGTTTCAGCCAGGGGAGAACAATGGATGGAGAGGAGAGGCAAGAAGAGAGGGGCCCAGGTGACCCTGTTTACCTGGATAGAAAACAATGGAAAGGGGAGGGGCTGCTGTAGGGGGGTTCTGAACAGAACAGGGAGAGAGCAGGCAGAGCCCACTTGGCTGCAGGGGAGACTCAGATGTGCTGGGCTGAGGGGGGGAGTGGCAAGCCTACAGGCCTGAGAGATCCTTTGCTGCAATCAAAGCTCAATGAACCCTCCTGTTTTGTGCTGGCTGAGAGATGCTCTGGTATGGAGAACAGAGTTGCACTATTTCCTCTGGGAGAGGAGGCCCTGAAAGTCCAGAGGAAGTGGACTCTCCTAGGGGCTCATGGCAGAGACAGGTCCTGAGAGGCACCATCTTGAAGGCAGAGTGGCGGAAAGAGGACTCCCTGAGAAAGGGCTGTCGCACTGGAGTGGACTCCCTGAGAAAGGAGTCACACTGCTATTATACTGGAGTGGGTTCCCTGATAAGGGGCTGTCACACTGAAGGGGGAAGTTCTGCCTGGAGTCCAATGTGTGAGCCGTGATAGTCACTAGCTAGACTGAGCTCGTTTTGTGCTTCACCATTCTAATCTTGCCCCTGTATAATTGTGTTATTTGCTTATATTCAGCCTTCGCAATTTGATCTAGTTTCCACTTTTTATATAACTCCTTCTTGATTTTTAGATCATGTAAGATCTCCTGGTTAAGCCAAGGTGGTCTCTTGCCATACTTTCTATCTTTTCTATGCAGTGGTATTGTTTGCTTTTGGGCCCTTAATGTCCCTTTGAAAAACAGCCAACTCTTCAGTTGTTTTTCCTTTTAGCCTTGCTACCTGTGGGACCTTACCTACTAGCTCTGAGTTTACTAAAATCTGCCTTTCTGAAATCCATTGTCTCTATTTTGCTATTCTCCCTTTTATCACGCCTTAGAATCATGAATTCTATGATTTCGTGATCACTTTCACCCAAGCTGCCTTCCACTTTCAAATTCTCAACCAGTTCCTCCCTATTTGTTAAAATCACATCTAGAACAGCTTCCCCCCAGTAGTTCTCTCTATCTTCTGAAATAAAAAATTGTCTCCAAAGCAGTCCAAGAACTTATTAGATAATCTGTGCCCTGCTGTGTTAGTTTTCCAACATATGTCTGGATAGCTGAATTTTCCCATCACCACCAAATCCTGCACTTTGGACGATTTTGTTAGTTATTTTATAAAAAAGCCTCATCCACCTCTTCTGCCTGGGTAGGTAGTCTATAGTAGACTCTTAGCATGACACCATGCTTGTTTTTTAACCCCTTTTAACCAGAATGAGCAGAAGCTAAAACAAATCTAGTTTATAGGCTTAAATGGCTGTGTGCATGGAACTGGACTGACAACAGTTTGATACTATTAGTTATTTTCTGCCATGTGCTTACGGCTCCCCCCCCAGGAAAATTAAATCCTAGCCAATGACAGCTGTTGATTCCCAGAAGAGCTGCTTGGGCATAAACATTCTCAAAATACAAAAATACAAGCAGGAGCATAAAGTGTACACCAGCTTAGTCTTTCTGCTAAATAATGCTCTGTTAAAAACAAGCAAGCAATATATGTTTCAGAAAATTTAATGTAATACAACTTGACAGCCTACAGTGCTGATATGCTAAAATACTCAGTTCATGTTTCCTCAACAGAAACTTAAATTTAACAGACTCTGTAATTCATAGCTTACAATCAGCATTATTCATACTTAAAAGCTGTGGAGATGATGAGGACATTTTTCTAGAGTATAATTGTAAGTAGATAATTTGTAGAATGTTTGGGGTACATATTTAGTCTATGATTCTGTATATTAAAAATGGAACCCCAAACTATCAAAGTGTGTGGTTACTTGATTTCCAGATTTAATGCATATTTTAAAAAGCAAAGTGATTTAACTATGAATCAATTAGACTAAAGAAAGCACATAATCACCACCTTTTTTGGAAAAGTACCCTGTTTTTTATAGTCATTTATTGCTATAGAAATACCACTGATAAAATATGAGCTCATCATATCCAAGAGCTTACTATATATTTGAAGTCCATAAATCAAGAAGTCAGCTTTGCTTGCTGAGTTTGATTACGGTAACTTGACAGTTCTGGAGACAGGATTCCTTTATTTATCCACACACAAAAGCAGCAATTATTAAAGCATCTTTATATTGGTCTTCCAAATGTATCTCAAACCTAAGTTGGAGGGAACAAGCCTGAATGGTTCATTCTCTATGTTCACTCTGTCTGATTTCTTTGCTAAGGTTGCTGCCGCCATGTGGCCCCTCAGCCGTTCATAACAGAACTATCAAACTGATTTCACTGGTGCTATGCCATTAAGAATCTGGCACAACTTTCAACTGTGACAGGACTCCTGACCACAGTGTCTTCAACCAACCATTGATTTCCACTTACGCCACTGATGAGCCGGACAGAATTCAAACAAGTAGCATAGAGAACAAGAAATGCTTTTCGTTACCAATTCTCCCCCCACATCATTGCGTTTCACTTTCCTCCTCTATCTTCAATTACAAGTATAAAGCAACCGGCTAATATGCCTAGATGCAGATAAAACAGGTATTACAAAAATGAGATTTTGTAAATATGCACACTTTAGACAACAGAAGGAAGAGAAGGTTTTTCTGCTTTTTGCTGATTTGACACAAAATTATTACCTGGTGTTTTAAACATTAGGCACCGTAAAATAGCTTCAGAAAACTCAATTGTATACCATGCTTTGGCCACACCTCTATAGCACCATCTCTTGAAAAGACATTTAGCTTTTAAAATGAGTTTGCATGTACATGTACAAGAACTTAAACTTTAGGATAGCATTCTCACAAAGACTGCTTAAATTATGTAAAAAATTAAATATTGTAAACTAAGGCAAAAGGAATCTCTTATGACCAACAATTCACATTTCTGTCTATTAAAAAATGTGCAGAGTAGGAAATCTTTGGTTTTTCAATAACATTCATTTCAACTTCCTTTCATTTTCACATGGTTACATCCATGTCTTTTAGGCCACAATACACTGATGTTTATTCAGAATTAATCACAACATTTCCACTTTTGAAATGGTAATTCATTTTTCCACCCTTATAAAACTTAGTTATCTCTTCATTGAAGGTGCTATATATAGTGTAAAAGTTGCACTGTATTTGCCGTACAATTTTAATTCATTTTCAGACTGAAGTCTGTACTTTCTAAAGACCTAAAATGTGATTTGGAGTAACACAGAAATAGACACAATAGGGGACCTTTCTAAAGAACAAGTTTTACAATTAAGACTCTACTTAAACATGATGCAAAAATCCCATTTTTTCTCCACATCACCTATATGGCTTTTACAAAAATATACTGTAATTATGTTCATTTTATGGACACTGGAAAGTTACATTAGTTGAATTATAAAAGTTACTGTAAATAAACTGTCCAATTCCTTGGAACATGTTCTGCTATGGTCTAATGGTCAATACTGTGTAATCAAGTATAGTGCAATTCAAAAGTAGCACAAATAAAACCTAAGAGTCTATGCTGTTATGTACAGAAACAGAAGTGACTTTTGTTCACTAATTTGTTTTCCTAGAAACAGAGCTCTAAATATTTCTTTTTAAAACAAATGGCTCGAAATAACAGCAAGAATGTACCCCCTGCGGATTAAACACTACCTTTTTTAAGTTTCTGTAAAGTTTGTTGTGATGATGGGACAAGAGGACCTTTTTTCACAGTGGAAGGTAAAGATCCATCTAACACAGTGGTCACTATTTCACAGAAAGTATGGTTGACAGCTATTTTCAGTTTACTAGCTTTAAAACAGGATTTCTTAGTTGCAAGCTGCCACAGGAGCCTGATTTAAAATGCATGAAACTGCTTTTCCTATGCACACTACCAGCATTTCTTAAAGAATGCATGTCCACTACTGCTAGAAAACACCTATGTCACTTAAGGTATTTAGATACAAATTTTTATACAAGAATATAAACAATGCTGATGAACATACCAAATCAATCTGAAGTCCAGTTAAGAGACATCAGAACAAAGTACTGTCTCTAACTATTCAGAAAGGTAAGCTACTTTGGACGCTTTTTCTCTTTTTTTTTGTTTAGTTTAGTACAGATGTAGATTTTTCAGGACACTCATCCTCGTATTTTAATTAGCTCTCCAAAATATAATGGAGCCCTTATTCAATTCCTGTTTACATAAAAAAAGAGATGACTTTTAAGCTTTATTGAAGTATCAAGAAAGCATATTAACCAATCAACAAAAAAATTAAAAAGGAAGAACTGCAACTGACAGCTGTGAAAGATTTATGTTCAGTGTATGTGAACAAGAGAGCTCAAGTAATAGCTACAAAATAAGAGTCCAATTGTTCTGTGTGAAGAATCCCTTTTCTCTGAAACATTGTTCCCAAAAATATATAAATCCCTCCATTTAAATAAACATCCCCAGATTTCCTATCAGAAACATACTCCACTGTTTGCTCACTGATCCCTTCATGAGTCATTCTTTGAATATAGACAAGAATTACACTCATTTCACAATTTACATTATTTTAGTGGAAAGTATACCTAAAGTCTTGAAATACAAAAAAGTTCTCAAACTGATTTTGCAGTCTGGTGCTGTTACTATGTCTCAAACTGAAAAATGTGATGCATATCATACAGATCTAAATATAACTTTACTAAAAAGGAATGGGGTTTCCAGTCTTTTCCCTTCTACCCAGGTAAATGAAGTCTGAGATTGCCAACGTCCACAATGAGCCTTGAGGACTTTTGAAATCTTCACACAATACAATTCTAGCAGCCACAAAGTTTAGTGGTAGTCTCCTTCAACCCTTCTCTTGCGAACTGTGTTCATAAGGAAAGAGAAAAAACAATTATAAAAACTGTAATGACTGTCTTAAGAATCTGCACAATATCGTAATAGCTAATGGGACAATTAATAGTCATTAACTTTTTAAACCATTTAATTCCAAGAAAAGCAGTTAATTAACATTTAATTCTGTTCATAATTTCAAATGTGCTCATTAGTAACTGAGTAACTTATTCCAATACAGGCAGTCCCCGACTTACGCGGATCCGACTTATGTCGGATCCGCACTTACGAATGGGGCTTTTCTCGCCCCGGACGTCGCGGGCAGTGGGACCGCCCAGAGCGCAGCGGTCCCGCCACCGCGTCCTCCGGGCGAGAAAAGCTGCTCCGGGTCTCCCTGGTGTGCTGGAGGGGACTCCCCAGCACAGCAGGGAGACAGGAGCAAAGCCGCAGAGGCGGGGGGGCCCGCCCCCCGTGCCGCCTTGCGTCGGGGGC